ATTTTGCATTTGCCTTTCCCTTTGATTTTTCAGTATTCCCTCCTGACATCCATCCCGGGAACCCCGGACCCTAAGCCGAAATTTTTGCATAGTGGCTTCCATGGCTGTTTTCTTTTCCATTCCCCCTTGATTGGTACTTTTGCAATTAATCCCTTGTAGCCCTTATATAATCCCCCCCCATTTTCCGCTCCTTACTATAACAACCAACAAGAACTGAGGTAGTACTGGAAAACCATTGTAATTATAGTGAACCAGAATCCTTATGTAACCTCATGTACCCCAAAACAATCAAATATTATGGGGCTCCTAAATCCTAAGCCTTAACTCTTAAACACTAGACCCTCCAAACCCTGAATCAGAAGCCCTCAATCCTAAAGCCTAAATCTACCCCACAGAGCTGTGCAGGATTATGTGTATGTGGAAGAGCAGAGCCTTTGGGGCAAGGCCCAACTCTCCTCTCTGCAAGTTTCTATGTGGCCCTTCAAAGGTTATCGGGCTTGTGTATTAACCTTATTTATGTATATCTATATATATACATGTATACATATATATGGGGAATTCCCGAAATTGGGGAAACCTTTTTGGATGTCCCTTTCACAAGTAATATAGTAAAAAAAGCATATTGGTGTCTATAGTTGGGTGCCCCTATTTCGGGAAGCTCCCATGTATATGTATATGCATAGACACGCATATACACATATGTGTAGATCGGTAGATGTATTTAGGGTTTAGGGTCAAAAAACGGGGCTCTTTGGTGGCATGCCCGGAATAAGGATTATCGTGTTCTGGGCCCTATTAAAGGGAAGCTACCGTCTGTGACGCGAACACAGAGTGCAGCCATTGCTTGGGAACCTACTCTGTTTATGTATATATATATATATACATATACATACACACGTCCGTGCGCAAACCTAAACCCTAAACCCCAAATAATGTAGTAGTTTCCATTTTCTTTTCCATGATCCCTACATAACCCCAATATCCTATAGTAGTGTCCTTTTTTTCCTTTATTGCTAGTATAATTATACCTTTGCATGCGCCTTGACCTTGTCAGCGAGCAGCTGTGTCCTGTCAGCAGGTCATTGCCGTACCTGGCAGTGCCAGGAGCCGAGCAAGCGCACATAGTCATGGTATATTAATTAGGATGACCCCCCACCCTGTAATGGTGGTATAATAGGAATATAAGAGGAGTCACCATTACTGGGTTGGGGGTCCACCTAATATATTATACAGATGATAATGGAAAAGAAAATGGAAACTACTATATTGTTTAGTATTTAGGGTTTAGTGTTTAGGGTGTCTTTTTTTGAGTTTTTCCTACTGTTAGCGTCATATTGCCTTTAGTATTCTTGCTGCTAGCATTATTGTTCCTGTTCGTAGCAAGTTACTGTTAGTACCAATATTCGCATGATTGCTATCAGTTTTCTTATTGCTGTTATTGTTCTCACAACTGCTACAATCATCGTTATTGCAACTCATTGTTCTTTTTTGCGTCTAAACTAAAAGGCGGTGCTGCTACTGACAATGCCACTCCGTCGTAGAGCTTCATGGCTTCCTGCTCACAAAGCACGCGGGAGTGTATTTGCGCGGTAGCAATGGACCCAAAACCCTTAACCCTGGGGCCAAACACTTCAACACAAAAAGTGCTGGCCCTGGCTTCCTGAGAGCTTGCCCAGTTCCAAACCTTTGGTGCGCCCATCGACGAGACCTGGCCGCCGCCTCGTTGCTTCCGTCAGGATATCAAGTTGTATGTGTGCATGGATGGGATAGGCATGGTGCCAGGTATGCCTGGCCTGCCTTTTTAGGCTTTCATATGCTGTCGTTCATTCATCCACAACACTTGAGAAGACAAGGAGGCCCAACAAGCTCTCCACCACATTGTGCCAAGAGCAAGCCCTGGTCCGTAAGTCATTATGTTACCAGCCGAGCTGCGAAACAGCTCGCGCAGACATTTCTGGTACGCATGTTTGTGCAATGATACGGTCTACGTTTACTGTGTTGCTGCATGAGCTGTTCTGCGCAAAGTCAGCCTGACTTCTTGCAGCACAGTGCGGCATATGACTTGGCATATTGCCCCCCATGCAAAACCGAAGCAAGTTTGGAAACAGACAGTGTGGGCTCTAGCTGAAGCAGGTGTTCCCAAGTAATTGTCTAAACTGTTTAGGAGCCCATCCATAAGGTTGCTTGATATTGTAATCATCATTCAAGTACTTCAATATAATCCCTATATAGCCCCATTATAATAGTAGTTTCCATTTTATTTTCCATTATCCCAATATAGAACCCCAATATGACCTATGAGGTGGACTAGTATGTTGAGATATATGCTACGAAGCATGCCGAACAGAAGGCTGCGCTTGGCTGCGACCATCAATGAGAACGACGAGTCCGCCTGCGTGTGGAACACAACAGGGTGAAGCACTGAGCTATGGAATCCTAGTAGGGCTTAGTCAGGGCTTTGAGTATAGGGCTTTGGGTCTAGCTAGTCATAATCGAAGACTTGCGCAGATTTTGGCTTGGCCTATCCTGCAGCCCGTCATGTTTGCCAAGTCTGCTAGAGGTCAGAAAGTTAGGATCTGTGTCTGTCTGTCTTTTCTGCGGGTATCTCCCAGAATTCGGGTCCCATTTTGGTACCCCTAAATAGATATTAAGCGCCGTACTATTGTTTACAACCAAAAAAGGGACCATAATTTTGAGAACAAGCCACGTCGCCTGGACAATGAAAAGCTATTTTGCGATCCTAAACCCTGAATCCTAAACCCTAACCTAACCCTACATCCTAAGCCCTGAATCCTAAACCCTAATCCCTTAATCTTAAATCCCAAATGCGAAGCTGGGCTCCTGTTCTGATAAGACTTTCGGAGACGATCCCAGGCCACAACTCGGGCCAGGGGTTTCCCAATTAGTGGTATCTTTTTTGAGGGTTTCCCAAAATTAGAGGTACCATTGTGGGGTCGCCTTAATAAGGATTAAAGTATTTGGGGGTCTATCTTAGGGTCCCCTACCTTTTGGGGCCCCTAGCACAAGCATTATAGTATTCTGGGGTCAATGTTGGGGTGCCCCTATGAATGGCGACTACCAAGTTGCCTGCTGCAGCACATAAGACATGGTAGAGGAGCGGGCCTTGGGGAGTCCTTCTGAAGCCCATTTTCATTATTGGTTTAAGGTTTAGGGTTTAGGTTTTAGGGTTTAGGGTTTATTGTCGCCAATTTTTGTTGTTATTCTTGTTATTGTTATAAGTATGGTGGTTATTAGTATTTTTGTTCTCATTCTTATTGTCATTGCTTGTAGTCTGGTATTGTCCCTGACATGATCCGTAACAAGGAACCCACGTCCGTTAAGTTATGTTATGTAGGACATGCTGACATATGATCATCATTAACAGGGGCCAAGGAGGATGAAGAGACCCTAAACCCTAAACCCTAAACCCTAAACCGTGTAGTTGTTACTGCAACGATCATGGCTACTGCCAGCTCAGCTTAGGTAGCGATCACCTCAGGATCATCCTCCAAGCTACATGACACCCGCATGAGTCGGGTGCTACAGGGGCCTGCTAGGATACATAGGGATATCTGTGTATACTTCTACATGTGTATATGGACATTTTACCAAAAATGGAGAATCAAACGCAAAATCACATGGAACATGAAATGCAAACTGGTCTTCTATAGGGCCTTCCTGTTTTGTACCGGGGGTTAGTAGAGAATAACGGAATATAAGTTACAAAATATGGGGAGTACGTAGGGATTATTATTCCCGTATTCCCTACTAAACCCCATTCAGTTTTGGGGGCTGAACCCTAAAAACCCTAAACCCTAAACCCTAAACCGCGTGGCTGATGAATTTCCTGGCTCTTGAGGCCACTCGACTGGCCGGCTGGTGCCCTCGTGGGATTCTCGCCCACGGAGCCCCCCTGGCGAGCTTGGGTTACTGTAGAAGCCTAAAGAATTACCAAAGATATGGTCCTATGTTTAGGGTTTAGGGGTTTAGGGTTTAGGGTTATATATCGGGGTTATAGTCCCCCTTAAGTAGATAGAATATGGGCTATATTATTGGGAGTTATATAGGGATAATGGAAAAGAAAATGGAAACTACTGTATGATAATAGGGTATATATTGGGGTTCCTTGTAGGATTATAGTATAGCGCTCAAATGCACCTCGAGTTATTTAGGCTTCTAGAGCAGAAGGGTCCGATACTTGGAGAAAAGGTCCCATTAAAACAAAAAACAACAACCCAGAAAAGTCCCTACAGGTTTGACAGTCCCTGGAGCAGTACTGTTTCACGCACCCTGACCTCAGCTCCAGCCTGGGCCTCAGAAAACTGACCAGGCACCCCGCAGAAGCCGGTGCATACCCGGGTTAGGGTTGTATAGGGATTTATAAGGTTTAGGGTTGTATAGGATTTATAGGGTTTAGGGTTGTATAGGGTTTATAGGGTTTAGGGTTGTATAGGGTTCATAGGGTTTAGGGTTGTAGGGTTTGATAGGGACTCTATGGGGGTTGAATTGCAATATTTTGGGGCCTTTATTGGGATCCCAGTATTGGGGTCCCGCTGCTCATGGAAATGCCTAACCAGGCGTTGTAAAACAACCAGGGAAACCCTTCGATCGACACTTCTAGGCCTGCAGACCCGAAAGATACCCTATAAACCCTACACAACCCTAAAAGCCCTGTAAACCTTATAAACCCTATTACAACCCTAAACCGCCTAAACCCTATAAACCCTACGTATACTCAACATGTTTAAGCCGGCATCCCAAGTAGGGCAGGGATGCAGGCGAGACCTGGTAGTGTCCCTAAACAGGGGAAACCCTATCAATATAGACCCCCAAAGACTACAACTAATCCTTTTTATATTGGGGTCCCCAAAATGGTAGCCCTTACTTTGGGAAACCCCACCTGTTGATGGTGGCCTCTTTGTAGCCTCCTGGACCCATGGTTGTTCTGCAGCTGGAAGCCATTCAACTCTTCAGGTGCTCGCCGCATCCGTCAGTTTGCCATGTCCTTGTTCTTCGCCAGCCCTTCGCCTTTGATTGGAGTGCTGCTGCTCTCAGCCGTGGCCGCGATCCGCGATCAAAAGGTGATCTCCAGTCAACATTCCGGATCAGAGGATGTAACTTGGGCTTTTGCCCGGCGCCACTCCGACACAGCCGCCACTTTGGAACCGGAGGACCCCGACGAGGTTGTTGTGCGAGGCCATTGGAAGTATGATGATGCTGAGGCGAACTACGACTGGTTGAAGCCAACCATCAAGGAATGCGTCGAGAAGTACACATACCCGAGCACTAACGTCAAGTTTTGCCAGCAGATGGCCCAGTGCATCAGAGACGCATGCGAGAAGAACTGGTCCGGAGAAAGTACCGGGCACCAGGTCCTCGTAGACGCGCAGGAGACCGGCAACGTAGCGGGCTTCACTGCTTCCATTCCGTTTGGCGATTATGGCCACTTGTATTTGAAGTACGGGAAGATGGCCATCGTCCTCTTCCGCTATCTCAAGTAGCCTGCTCCTTCAATGTGGGGAATGCGCGATGCTCCATCACAGCTGCTGGCCATAGCATTGTGTACTTGCCTTCGCGCCAAGAAAAGAGGGGTGTGCATTTCCATTGCATTGAAGCTGCGAGTAAACCCATAGACCCGACACCCTAATGTCAACGTCGAAGCTTGGCAGCTGAGGAGTACGAGGAAGAGAATGGGTGCTGGAGGCCTTTCAGTGACGACGCGCACGTTGCAAAGCATGCCTTCTCATCTCGTGTTTGAATGGCAGACTGTCTGCGGGACCTCATCATAGGACCTTATCCTTGCTAGCTGCTAGTGAGCTCACGCTGCTTTTATGACACGACAGTATAGTTAGACCATAATGCATGGGGGTGCCACAGTTCCAGCAGTAAGGAGGTGTGCACCAGCGATTTTTTTTTTCGCAGTTCTCAGGCCTTGAGGTTGCTGTGTGCCTGGTGGATGGGTTTGCTGACCCTGGTGTGCTGCACTAGTAAGTGTTCCAGCTTGACTGCAAGTGCGTCCATCAATGATGTGAGCTGTAGTCTAAACTCCTTAAAGGAGATTGTATAGGGGAGTACAAAGGGGATTAGTATAGGGGGGTTATGAAGGGGGATACTAGGAGCTTAGACTATAGCTCATGTAGATGTGGCTGAACACTATAACTTACTGCACCGGGTCACCGCACCACAGAAGAGCAACTGCGATTGGGCTTTTTCATTGTCTTAATTTGTCCTCCGGGGTTGCTCTTCTTACCAAGGTTCCTCAAGTAGAAATAGGACCCTGAAAGCCGAATATGGCATCTTTGGAAAAAACGTGCCCACGCCTTCCGCTCTTTCCAGAAAGTGGTCCCTAAAGCACGGTCTACAGTCTAAATCTTCTGCACGTTCGAAATCCGAACCTAAAATCCCGAACTGTGCATCATCTGTGGAACCCCCACTTCTCCGACTGTACCAATCAGCCTCAACAAGGTGTGAGAGCCTTCTTCTGAAATATAAACCCTATGTGGTAGTTTCCCAAAATAAGGGTACCCCAGTATAGATCCCAATATACTCTAATCCTTAGTATGGGACCCCCAAAAAGGTACCTTCTAATTTTGGGAAACCCCTATGTATCCACCCAGAAAACCATCTCCATCTGTTTTAACATCTGGTTCTCCGTCATTGGGTTGAAGCAATATTCCTAAACCCTACATACTCCCCATTGTTTATCCATTCTTCTGCTCATATAAAGTCCCGTGTCCATTTCATGTCCATTTGCTTTTGCATCCCGGCTTTCCGTTCATAAGCCCTAAGCCCCCTAAATAGTAACTGCCATTTTCTTTTCCATTCCTTGTTTACATCCCTATTCCCCATACTGCCCTAAGCTCTCAAAGCCTAAACCCCGAAAACCCTAAATCCCAATCCCTAAACCAAGCCCTAATCCCTAAACCCTATACCCCCTACACCCTAAACAGTAGTTTCCATTTTCTTTCCAGTATCCCAATGTCAACCCGTTATAAACATATATACTCCCTATATAACCTATATAATCCCTACATAACAGCTATTAAATCCCTATATAACCGCTATATAGTCATTTGACCATCCTCTGCTTCCGGAGGCTCCGATGGTCAGGCAGTCTCGGGGAGCGACGTTTCGCCGAGGACATCGAAGTTGGCGGAGGGAAGAAGGCAGGATGGTAACCTACACCGCGCACATGGGTGGTTGTCAAAATTATGGTAGGTGCCGTATTATAATTGGGACCCAAAAAGGGACCACAATTCATTTTCACAACCACCCACATGCATCACAGCAACTGCACCGCACTGCGACCGCGGCACCTAGAACACTGCCAGATACACGCCCCTTGCTAACGTGGAACTGATTGCTTTCGGGACAATCGGGGTCTAGTACTAAGAAGGGGGTTTAGTTAAACCCTAAATTAGGGTTTAGTTAAACCCTGAATTAGGGTTTAGTTAAACCCTAAATTAGGGTTTAATTAAACCCCAAGAAGGGTATACGGTTTAGGGGTTCAGGATTGAGGGTTTAGGGTTTAGGGGTTTAGAGATTGGATTTCGGTACTTCAGGCAGGGTGGGGAGTGGAAGAGAAAATGGAAACTCCTACTAAGGCTTAGGTTTCCCAGAGCTGCCCTAGCATAATGCATAGAGTAGGCAGGGTATCTGAAGTGGTGTAAGGCCCCCTCTATCCACCTGAGGGGATGTGGGCAGGAGGCTTGTTGAGGGATAGGAGATGAGGCAAGATTCAAGATGAAGTTTGAAACCCTCAGGCCCTACACTCCTAAACCCTTAACTTCAGGGTTTGAGGTTTAGTGGTTTTAGGGATTTAGGGGTTTAGGGTGGATGGTCAAGCTACCACTCTTCGATTGCTCCCGCCGTTCTCTCTTTGTGCAACTAATCTTAGCATCGTAGTTTTGATGATGACGGGTACAGGTAATGTTGGTAGCATGATCAGGACAGTGTCCCAGTCAACTAAACACAAATGCCATCTTGCCAGTCTGGGTTCCCGGCAGAATCAGACTAATCTGCAGTCCAAGCAAAATTGTTTGGATTTCGTACGTGGCTCACAAATTCAAATCTAGTTGTCGTCTTTTTAACATGCAGCGTACTTCTGGTGACGGCGGCTGCGGTGTTGCTATCATGGAATGTTATTAAATGTTCTTGAGAGACATTCTTTCTGTGCTCACACCGTTACTTTGGAGCAAAGGTTGAAGTAGTATGCTTGGTAGACGTTGGTGGTAGTTGTCGTGTAATCAATAGGAGGAGGATCAGGAGCAGCACTGGCAGTAGCAATTGCGGTGGAATCATCAGCAGCATAGGTTGCTACAATTGGGACCTGCGCGATCTCAAAGAGAGTCCTGCAATGATATACCATCCAGCATGCATCTCGTTCTATGGTTGCAACACTATCAAGGACGACAGCAAGTGCTAGCCTACTTAGTACTAAGGACATCACCAAGTGACAACGATTGATGAGGTCATTTGGGCATCAGGTATATATATATATATGTACACACTGTTTGTTTGTGCATTTTTTGCATTTATGGCTAGGTGTTGTAAGACACGTTCCTCACACGCAGTATTTCGCAGTACAGTCTAGAGGGAGATGGTGACATACATTCACTGAGCCACTGAGCAGAGACACATGCCGTGTTGCATGCTGGTGTAGCTCAGTTTCGCGTGGTATCTGGCAGCAAGCGGAAGGGATTGTCCGATCCAACCGTATGTTCATTAGTTGTCAACGAGTTTCTTCTCCAGCTTCCAGAATACGTTGCAAGTACACAAAATGAGCCATGGATTTCAACCATCCTTGTGGCATCCTCCACGGCTCTCGAATTGCCCTTGTCTCCCTCAGAAGGGACTCTGAGATGCGCGTTGGGGTGAAAGTTCCTCAAGATGGGCTCCCACAATTTTTTTTGGAATCCCTCAGCGTCCCTGGGGTTCCCACCCTAAACCAAGTTTGGGGAAGACGTCAGGTCTCCTTGCGCGCCATCGTCGCGCGCATGGATCGTACTGTGCCTCGTCTTGACTGAGGATCTCGCGTCTTCAGGGGCTTAGGGTTTAGAGGGCGTGGGATTCTGGGTTACATTTACTTGTTACAACACACCTCCAAACTCGTGAGACCTCTGTGAGTGCTGAGGTGATCATTGAGTCTCGAGAGATCGACGGCACCGGCGGGAGCGCCTATGGAGGCCTTAGCTGCCAGCGGTAGTGGCCCAAAGGTTTCATGTGGTTATATGTTATATAACTGAGTCCTGAAGCAGCTTTATGGGAACCCTTTTTGGCCCAAGTATAGACTTCATTCTGCTGCCTTTAGTCTATCTATTTTTCACTATGACTCCAAGGCTTGGTGTGACTTTGTTGTTGTTCCGGCTTTATAGGGTCCCGGGCTCCTAAACCCTACAAGGGGGTTTCCCAAAATTACGGGTACCTTTTTGGGGTCCCTATAATAAGGACTATAGTATATTTGGGTCTATATTGGGGTCCCCCCTATTTAGGGAAACTACCACAAAGTTTAGTCCGCCCATTAACAGCTTGTGTTGCAACCCCCTGGCCTTGGATCTCAGCGTTTAGCAAACGCGGGACCTGAAGTAAGAACCCTGAGGGCAACGGAAGCAGAGTCCTGGGTTCTGGTGAGGGTAGGTATATGAAAAGGTATATGGTATTGTATTTGGACATAAGAATCTTTCTCCCATCATGGAGACTAAGATGGAAAACTACATGGACACTGGAAGTCTATGGGGTTTTATAGGGATTACAGGCCCCTTCTCTACTTGTAGGAGCTTGTATGAGCTCTGACCGCCGTAAGCCGGTCGAGGATTACTCTCACAGTTGCAGCCAGACGGAGAAAGAGACAGGAGGCCCTTTGTTGAGAGTCCCTATGCTAAAGTTGGTATGTCAGTGTCTTTTTTGGGGCCCCCTACTTGTGGAGACCACTGAGACGTTCTTGTGCAAACTCATCACCACATGACACCTGAACCCTAAGCTACCTCTTGGGCTACGCCCCCTAGTAGTGACCACAAGGGACTTTGGTAATGGTAGCAAGATTCCCATTAGCTACCGGCGGGGACCTAACCCAACCCTTTTATCAAGGTCTAGGGTCTAGGGCTTAGGGCCCCCAGTAAAGTCAAGACGTCCTTGAGCGGAACATAATGGGGACACTGGCTACTTTGACTCATGCGAGTGATCATGGGTCCCTGTCAAAATTATGCTGGTCCGTTGGGAGCGCTAAGCCCTAAACCCTCAACCCTAAACCCCAAACCCTATTCCGCTAAAGCCCAAAACCCTAGTTTACAAAGACAGGGATCCTGGTATTCAGAAGTTCTACTGTAGCGGTGGAGGCTGTCGACGGTAAGCCTCATGAGAGCTGGCGCTGGTTCTTTAGGAAATGAAAAGGGCAAGCGCTCAAGCAAAACGGTGGGATCAGAGGCTACCTCGAGCACTCAGCGTCCCAGATGAGTTATAGTCTAAACTCCTTAAGCCCTCACATATCCCTAAGCTCTCGAAG